ACCTTTTCATTCCTTGTAATCTCTTTAATACTGTGAAATACTTTTCTTTTTTAAAATACAGTATTTTCTGAGGTAGACCATTACAGTTCAAACGCATTTCTTTTCAGACATTAATAAGACATGAATTAAATACTTTCATGTACAATATGTTGCAAAATGAGGTAGAAATGGTTACAGAGGATGTACAAAAAGTCAAAGACGATTTAGAAAAAAAAAAAGCCCTTTTCAAAATTCCAGTACCACTTTTTGGAGGAAAACAACAACAACAAAAGGACAAAATAAGCAATCTTCCTGAGGTATATTACATTGCTATCTATGAGACAGGTTTGCAGTGAAGGCACTAAAATGATATGAAGAGACTGTGCCTGCTGCTATGACCAGTTCCTGTTGTAAAAACTGAACAATCTTTACTGTAGAACTTCATATATCCAGGGCCATTAGAAGTTGCAGTTTGATGATGTCTGTCTGGACATTTATCTGGATTTACTAACTAGCAGCTTCCCTTATCTCCTCCAATGGCTTTTATAGACTATTGCCACCAGATTCTATTTCTAGTGCTGCATTTAATGGGAGACCCTTCTGGATTGGGAGAATCCAAGTTCTAAGACCACATCCTTCATTCACACAGAATTCTGCCCAATCCTGTTGGGCTTCCTTACTATCCTGCATTAAAGGGGGGGGGGAACAATCTAAGGATACAGCTGAGGTTTCTCTGTAGCTAGGTTTTGCCTAGGAACACGGAAAATTGTGGACACAGCTATCTTTTGCATTACAGGTAGCCCTCGACTTACGACCACAATTGAGCCAAAAATTTCTGTTGTTCAGTGAGACATTTGTTAAGTGAGTTTTACTCCATTTTAAAACTTTTCTTGCCACAATGGTTTAGTAAATCACTGTAGTGGATAAGTTACTAACCTGGTTGTTAACTGAATCTGGCTTCCCCCTTGACCTTGCTGGTCAGACGGTTGCCAGAGGTGATCACGTGACCCCGGGGGACACAGTGACCGTCATAGATATGAGCCAGTTGCCAAGCGTCTGAATTTTGATCACGTGACCATGGGGATGCTGCAAAGGTCGTAACTCTGAAAAACGATCATAAGTCACATTTTTCAGTGCCATTCTAACTTTGAATGATCACTAAATGAACTGTTGTAAGTCAAGGACTACCTGTACAGCAAAGCCTGAGCTTTGTTTTTAAGAGGAGATCGGTTAAGTTTTATAGTCTACCGAGTTCCTCCCAAGCATTTGGAAAGCCAGTGGTCTATTGGAAGAAAAAAAAACTTGTATCTTATAAAGTAGGTTAAAGACATACTGTATAATCTAGCAAGAATTAATAGAGTCCTCATGCATGAAGCTAATATGCTGGATTTAATCCCCCAAGCAGAATCCCATTCAAAAGCTAAGGGGGGGGGAGTGGCTTTCCCAACCCAGACCCCATTGCCACCACCTCTTGCCAAAAGGTGATTCTCCAGAAGCCGAAGGAAGAAGATTGATGAACCTCCTCCAATCTGCCCAGGAAATGTTCTGTGACATCAGGAACCCTGATCTAACACTGGACGGGTGTTGCGTTGTGCCTTTCTGATGTTTTGTGCTCTCGACCAGATATACAAAAGTATACATTTGAAGGGGCATCTTTTGATAGCAGGTTTACGATTCATGACCGAATCACAGCTTGCGAACTGATTCCCAAATGCATGCTGCTTATAAAGAGGTGGTTTGATAAACCTGATAAAATTTTATCGATGGGTGGAGGATGAAAATGAGAAAGGCGATGAAAATGAGAAAAAGACACTGCTTCAAAAATTTTAAAGGCTAACATTTAAACCCAAACACTGTTCAGCAAGCATGAATTACTTTCACTGGGTCCCCGATAGATTCCGTAACTGTCTAAAGGTAGGGGAGCTGTTCCGTTTACAATGTGTGGTAAATTGCAGCCCATATATGCACACACGTATATGAACATGTGTGTGCAAACACAATGGAGGATCATTAAAAGTATGTAGTTGCAATGAGCAAAGAGATGTTGCCACTGGAGTCTGCATTGGCACCCTCCAGCTTTCAGTAATTCCACCTAGCTAGATCAGGAGCTTAGATGAATAGAACTGACAATATTAATGAACTGAACTGAAGCAAAAGGGAAACAAATATCATTCAATATGAAGTGGGGGGAAAATGGAAGCAACCTAATATTTTTCCTCTTCCTCATAAGCACATGCAAAGTTACACTTGGCAAATGCTTCTCTCCTTGGGGAATAAATCCTCTCAATCTGACGAATCACTGCTACACCTACACTTTATTTCAATTTCACTAGTTCTGATTTTAAATTGGCACATGGAAACCTCCTGCATTAATGGGAGCAGCTAAATGAAGACTAAACTTCAAAGGCAGCATATCTCTGCATACCAGTGTGCTGACAAGAAACAATTAGGAAAGGATGCTGTATGTATATAGCTCCTGAAGATGTATAGCTGGATATTGTCACTGATTGAGTAAAGGATTACATATAGATGAATAATTGATAGAACTAGAACCTGTGTATAAACTCAAATCTGGTATCTGAATTTCAAACTCCAAACTAGACATCTGATTTATTTCCACATTTGAAACCCAGTGCTTACTTTCTTGGAAGGCAAACCGGCAAGATTAACAGAAAGGTAACAACTCCAAGACCAAAAGCTAGACACCCATCGAAGTGAGTCCTGAACTTCAAACACCAACCACTCCAAATACTTTTCAGTTAATTCCTATAAATTAATTTCCTAATCTCAGAATCCCAAAAGTTGTCCTGCCCAAAAAAACCCAAAAACGCTCTATTATTAAGGGTTTCCTGCTTCACCTCAGAAAAGGCAAAAAATAAACATGCTAATGAAGCAGACTAGATCAGCTTTACTTTCTAGGATCTAATCTCATACCTTGCCTGTTTTCCCAAGTTTCTCAAAACCAAAGAAAATTGGCTTTGTTTCAAAAGAAAATAATCTGGAAAGCTGGCCAATTATAAGCCAACCTCCTTCAGTCTTCCTTGATCCATGTCCCCACAAAGTATACAAATTCACACAACACCCCAGCCCAATAGCTAGGAACAGACTAGGTGCAGCACCTACAAATCTCATATGATTCTCATCTTAATTTATTGACAAAAAGAATAATACAACACTCTTATGAGGATACAATGTACAATGCACCAAGAGAAAAGTCTCCCCGCTGCATCTTATCTTAATACTGTACAATCTACCACCACAAAACATCTTCAAGAGGAGGATGCCTGTGAATTACTTGCCTCCCACAGTCAAAGGTCAAGGAGGTTATTAAATCTTTGGTGCCTGAGTAGTCCTGGAGCCTGAACAGAATCACTGTCACATTATATTTCTAGCAGAAATTCCATTGAATGTCTCATGGAGAACATTCTATAGTGGATCCAAACACTATTTACACAATCTGTATTTCGTGCAAAGAAATTTGAATTCAGTGCTCAAATGTGCAGTTGCATGGTTTCCTAAAATGCATTAGCCACAATTTATTTTGAAACAGGCTCATCTAGTGTGAAGAGAGAAAAAGAAAGGGAGGGAACCCACTATGCTTCAGCAAAATAAAAGCAGGCTAATTCTACTTTATCGAGGCCATCGGGAAAAGTATTTCTGTTTCACCTCGAAACACACAACCGGGAAGAGTAAGAATTTTCTTTTATCACAAAATGTTATCATTTTCAGAAAAGTGTACCATACTCTGTACTATATTGGGTGTTGTAGAATTCTACATTGCAGCAAACTTTAGCTGAAGGAGAAAAGTTGCTGAATTTTGTAATGTAGGCTGCAATTGGCAATTGTTCATTATATAACTGAAACAAAAAAATTGTATTGTGCCTTCACAATATTCAATGGTCTTGGAAAGTGTTACATTGGGAGGACCTTCATCTCCAAACAAGGTCTGGTCTTATATGTGTGTGATTCTTTTCTGATGTTTATTTATATCTATGTATGGTTGCCTATGAGATGAATACTGCTTTGTTGGAAGCTTCTATTCAAGCCTCAAGAAAGTGCTAATTTAATTTCTGATCTCAGATGATACTTTTTATTGTTGTTTGTTCCCACACTAGCCCAGATAGGAAAAGATCATCATCAGGCAAATGAAATGCAGGGGAAAAACCAACCTATGCTTTCTAATGCTGAGATCTTGATTAGTTTTCCCCTTACCCTTCAGCTCCTATCCAACATTTTGAAAAATAGCTGACATCACACCTATAAATGGTCATCCCAGACAGGAGAAGCAAAAATGGCCGGGAACAGGGAAAAACCACAATCTTGCTTAATGAGGGCTAAAGGTGGACAGAGAAACCAAAGGAAAAAAAGGCAGAGAAAGGAGAATTTGAGATGTTCCACATGGGGAGGAGATCATTTGACCATAATAAATATGGAGTGGTCTAGGCTGAAATCTCTCCCCATTCCACTAAAAGAAGAAAAAGAGGGGTCTGTATATATACAGGAATATACAATCTTAAGGAAAGCAGATAATAAAAACACAACCCTTTGATGGAAACCTGATAACTTCCTTCACAGTCATTCAGAAGTCAGTGGCTTTTCAACAGAATAAGAAACAAGGAGACAAATGCCTACTATCCTGTGGATGTTCAGGTAATCCTCAACTTATGACCAGAATCGGGCCAGAATTTCTATGGCTAAGCAAGGCAGTTAAGTGAGTTACCCCAGATTTTATGGGCTTTTTTGCCACGTTAAGTGAGTCATGCATTCATTAAGCAAATCAGGGCCCCTCCATTGATTCACTCGTTGGAAGCTGGCTGGGAAGGATGCAAATGGTGACCACAGGACCCCCGGGATGCTGCAACCCCTGTAAACCATGCCGGCTGCCAAGTGCCCAAATTGTGATCACATGACCATGGGGATGCTGCAATGGTCGTAAACAGTGGTGGGATTCAGCCGGTTCACATCACTTCGGCAGAACCGGTAGCCAATTTTTTGTTGTCCAGGCCCAGAATGGACTTCCGGAAGCGGCTTCCACACAGAGAACCAGTTGTTCACATATTTGAATCCCACCACTGGTTATAAGTGTGATCGTAATTTTGAATAGTCGCTAAATGACTGGTTGTAAGTTGAGCACTATTTGAGGACTGCAGAAAACTACAGAAGTACTTAACTCTTCTTCCAGTTTATTATTCCCTGGAAACCTTCCATTCCAGCTATTTCCTCTAGTTTTCTGGCAGTTCCCCCCCCCCCCATTCCAGTCATATGATTCAGCTTGTGGAAGTAATTCTAGGGTCTAGCTGGGACAGACAGAAGGAAGAACAGCTTCCCTTATTTGTTCTTCCCATCCTTCATTTAAAAAAATGTTCAGGAAAAATGACTGTTAAGTGAATGTGCAGCTGACCTCTGATTTGGGGAAAAACAACATTTCAGGTTGCTTCCTCAGTGAGAAAAAAAAATCAGAAAATTCCCTACAAATGTTTATCAATCACTAGGCTCACAATGACTTATAAATTGCCAGGTGATCTTGAGAATACAACAAAAAATAAGGGCATGTGAATTAGAAAGGAAAAATCAACAGACATTATAATGAATAAAAAAGAGATGGAATATACAAAAGAGAGAGAGGTTTTCACAAAGCAATAATAACGGCAGGAAAATATAAATATAAGAAAAAAATAAACCTCGATCAGAATAATGTTCCATTAATTCCAAAATAAAGTGCTAACTGATCAAACTGAATTTTCTTACTAAGAAAATCAACCATCTCCCATTACTATTTAACCTACAGCAGGTTTTAACATTGATGGTAATTGATTTTTTTTTTCATTTATTATTAGGAGTTAAGAGATCTTAGGGCAAAAGATGGCTATGAATCAACAAGACCCATAGTAGCAGTAAAGATATTTGTTAAAATATCAAATTTAACCAGAATGGGTGCCATGGGTTTGATTGTCCTAAATTTATCATACAATTTATCTCTTTGTGGGTTTTAGTTTCAGATTTGCAAACTAAATAACTGTATGATAGACTATTAATACACATAAACCTAATGAAAGGTCTTCACCTAATAAAAGGATCAAGGATCACTTCTGTGATCCTCTTTCTTCTCCACATTTTTGGTTTTCACAGTAAGGAGCCAAGGGGCTAAAAGCTGGAAAGAAAAAAAACAAAAACAAATGGGAAGACTGGAAGTTTAACCCTTACTTTTCTGTTATGCAAATTCTCCCAAATGCAATATTTTCCAAGCAGATGATTACACTGTCCAATTATATAGCATCAAGGGCTGACCTAGATGGAAGCGTGAGCATCAGCTCTTAAATCAACATTTAGAGAGGACTTTTATTGAGTGGTCCATTCAGTGATCGATGGATGAAGAGGTTGGTCTTTTTTTCAATATAGTATTTATTGTATGCAAAGTGCCTAATGAAATCCTCTTAAAGTCTGAGAGAGACAGGTCTCCATTACAAAATGGGAAAAATGAGGTTGGAAGATTGTGACTTATCCAAAGACACCCATTAAATCCACATCTGAACTGGGAGTCTTCTGAATCAGCTCTGTTTTTCTGATATTAAGTGCTTTGGTTTAACAGAAACATAAATGACAATTGACTGCTTAAGCCACAACTGTAGGGTTTACAACTTTCAGCCAGCTTTTTAACTCAGCAATGTTTGTTTTCATTTGGTACAGGGAAAAAATCCTAAATGGAATCAAGTAGTTAATCTTTGCTTTGGTTTTGTCTCTGGATCATCTCAACTGTGATCCTTAAGCAGCTAATAAAATCCAGATCCCTTATATAATTTAAATTCCTAATCTGATAACTAGACTTGCAAAGAAGTCCATCTCTTGATTAAAGAAGAGATGATCTTTAGAGATGTTAAGCGGAATTTCTGGCTTCTTCTAAAACAGGGCTGAGGAACTATGACCAATTTCTAGAATTCTGGGAGTTGAAGTCCTTAAGTCATAAAAAGGCCATAGTTCCCCACCTGTTCTAAACCATATGGGATTATTATTTACTTTGGCTAATTAATTTACAGTAATAAGATGTTTCAGAATCTAAGGGACTGGTTTGGACAAAACTCAGCAGCACTTTTTCGTGAAGCTGCTGATAAAAACAGGATCGCCAACATGATCGCCAACGTCCGATAAAGGATATGGCACAAGAAGAAGAAGAAGGAAGAGGTGTGAAGTCACCAGTAAGACATTGCAAGGGAGCCTGTCATTGAGTGCTAAATGCAAATGCGAGTGCTTGTTCTGTCTCCTACTTTAATGCTGTGCTTTACATGCAAATTATATTGACCTTATTGAGATATCCTTATAACTGTAGAATATGGAAGTATCTCTAAAGTACCTATTTAAAGATGTCACTCATCCCCTAATAGTTCTTAAGCCAATTACATTTCTCTGGTTCTGTCCACATGGATTTGGGTTGGATCCAGATTTAGCTATATTTGAAATAGAGTAGATATTGATGTATCCCAAACAAGACTCCTGCTGGCATCAGAATTTGCACTAAGCCATAATGTTTGGTACTGCTCTAAGGCATTGTGGTTTATAAACCAGTACTTTGGCAAAAGAAGTATATCTCACCTGAGAAGCTTCCACCTAAACAGGTGTCTTCTATCTGATGGAATTTAACAACTCTATTGTATTTTTACTCTCTATTTGTGGAAAAGGAAAACACATTATTGGTTTGCTATCGCATTTTGGCAAGGCAGTTTTGAGGGGAAGGCAGAATTCCAGGGATTGTAGAAAGAGTCTGGGTGCCATTAAAATCCAGCCTACTCCTCAATAGGGAACTTAGGTTTGACTTACTGCACTATGAATATACAAATGAAATTCTTTATAAACTTTTTAATAACTTATTTTCCCATATAGTCAGATGGTTCCTATCTACTATAGTAATTTTAATATTTGGAGATTTACCTTTGATCAATTTCTCTCCATATTCCAAGAAGTGTTTTTTGTAAACTTTTACAAAATGGGAATATTTAGATGCAAGAATTGTCAGTTTCTTCTCCAAAACTAACTTTGGGGTTTGAAGGATTTTGAGGGGAGATGGGGACAAAAGATGACTTAACTCTGCAGGTGTATACATTGAGGCCTCATATTATACTCAATCTGGGATATACATATTAAACTAGCAGGTTCTATCTCAGTGTTTCTCAACCTCAAGCACCTTTAATTGCATGCTTGCTGGGGAATTCTGGAAGTTGAAGTCTACACATCCTAGAGCTGCTGAAGTTGAGAAACACACCACTCTATTAGAATTATTCAGTATGGCAACATACTGTAACAACAATAACAACAAAATGACAATGCAAAGTAGGCACATGAGAGTCTCCTGCCATGTATCTCCTGCTTGAGAAGGTACAAGTCTCTCCTAAGTCACATGATTCCATTTTCAACTGTATTTTCATAAAGGCAGGATTTCTTATATGCTTACACAGAGGGTAACATTATTCACTTACAGAAACATTTACAAGACATGCCCTCCATTTACTTACACACAAACCTATAAATGGAACAGTACAGAGTATAAACCTACATAGATTACCTCTTAAATTGTGACTCCCAGGTCAGGGGGCAAAAATGCAAGAGGCAGAAAAAAACAAATTGTGCAGGGATGGTTGGAAATAAATGTTCTAGCTCCATAGTTGACGTACCTTCCCCCTGCTCTGGGATGGATCAGAGCAGGGGTCTTCAAACTTGGCCCTTTTATGACCTGTGGACTTCAGCTCCCAGAATTCCTCAGCCAGCATGCCTGGCTGAGGAATTCTGGGAGTTGAAGTCCACAAGTCATAAAAGGGCCAAGTTTGAAGACCCCTGGATCAGAGGATTAGATTTAGTAGAAGCTTCTCAATCTTGAACGAAGAACCTAAAAGGGCACCATTATTCATCTACTAACTTCCTTCTCCACATGCAGACACTCATTGAATCCTATAGGCCAGGTTTCCCCAGTCTGGCTCCTAGAATTCTCAGAAATGCCCATGTTAGCTGGAGAATTCTGGAAGATTCAACCAGGAATTTGAGGGCAACCAAGTTAGAGACTGTGCCATGGCCCTTGGGATAATTTGACAGGGACCACAGGTCCATGTTTTGTTTTGCTTTGCCTCAAAATATTTTGGGAATCTCAAATGGACATTTTCTTTTATTATGGAAATCTTACTATATGAGGTCCTATGAAAAGCATAGGAAAAGGAAACATGACTTGGCCATTTGGAATTTGGAAATGTGATAAAAAGATTCCTTTAAAAAGTGGTACTAGCCATGGCTTTGAAACTACAATACTAATACTTCTTATTCTTTGAAGACACATTACTCCACCTAAATGCTATGGCAAAAATGCTTTCTTTAAACAAAAAGAAAGTAAGTTATGGCATTATATATTGTGAAACACCCCTGAAATACATTCAACTTTCACCTTTGTAACAACTTCAAGTTTATTCTTGCTTTTTTTTCTCTTGTGCACCTTATAAAGCACATTTGTAATCCCTCCAAATCATTTTTATTTTCCTTGAGTTAAAAAAAATGCAAACATTCTTTATTTTTTGAGGTAAATTATTTTTCCTGAGTAGTTAAAAAAAGGGAAAAAACCACTACTACATACATTAGAAAAATAAAAAAGAGCCTAGCTTATTCAACAATCTACATTTTTAAAATATCCCAACCCCCTTCTCTCAAAACATATTGATGCCATCTGCTTTATGGTAAGATATGCCTCTGAAAAATGAGTCTGTTGAGAAATAATAAGTGAATGACCCATAGGTTGTTACCTATAGGACAACCTTCCCTAATTAGAGTTTGACAAAATCATGGGATTCTGCCAGACATCATGCTTGGAAAAAAAATTTGTTTTTTGGGAACTTTGCAAGCCAGGCAACACCAGCATTGATAGTGGTGGGAATTTTTATACACCACGATGTTGCTGCCAGCCTGCCATTTTGCTGTTGTAAATATTATAAAATGTGGATGGTGTAGGTTAGAAGTGAATTGAATTGTGAGGTATTTGTATCTTCTTCTTTTTTGGCTATTTTTATGCAGGGCTTCCCTGAGACCTGAACATTATTTCAAGAGTTTCTCCAGGGTAAAAAGATAGAGAGAGGCTGCAACAGAAATGTGAAGAGTCAGACAGAAGTGTTTGAGGTGTGCAGCACTAAAAAGGAGCTGGAAACGGGGTAATACCTGGCAGAATATTTTACAATGCTGTCTGGAAAGGGTTGATTAGAAAAACAGATCAATAATAAATAGGTTATCCTGAGTTCATTGAGCAACTACTTTTCATTAACATAGAGATCTGACAACCACCACATAAACTTTCAGTCATTTTTAAAGAAACAAGCTGCATGTCAGTCTAGGGGAGGACTTGCATCCAATTGGTGTGGCTTTTTGCTTTTAAAGAGATGAAAACTACTTCTCACCCTTTCCCATGTTTTCATAGGGAAGGAGATATGAGACTCTCAGAAACTGGAACCCACAGCGCCCCAAGACCTTTAAGAGCAAACAGAGAATTCAATGTTTCCAGTAGCTTCCTCTCAAAAAGATTAAACATTATTTGGAAAGAAGAACAGGCGCTTCCACACTAATTGTGAGACCCATACATTTTATCCCATTCCACATACAGGTCCAACTCCTTCTGAGAGACAGCAGGGTGGATCTTGCAGAAAACACTTTCGAAATCTTTGTAGGAGGTGGGTTGGATTTGGCCAGGCAGGCTATGCAGTTTGTTGGTCCCTGCCTGCTGACAGAGCTGGAGGAGCTCACTGCCCGAGTAGCTTTCAGTAAGTTGGACAATGGAGGCCATCTCCCTCTCACTGAGACAGTAGTTTTGCTGAGCTAAAGCATGGTGCAGAATCTGCCGCCTTGCAATGCTGTCTGGCGGGGAGATGTAAAATCGTTTGGCAAACCTTCTTTGGGTGGCTTCATCCAGAGTACCAGGCCTGGTGGTAGTTGCTATGACAACCACATTCTGCTCAGCTGAGGTAGCAAGCTTGTCCAGGTAGGTGAGCAACTGGGACTTCAAGATGGCAGCGTCTTCTAGGACAGATTCCAAGTCGGTGAGGAGAATAACAGCAGGCTGCCTACAGTTGGATATAAAGAAGGTGGTCTGTAGGATTTTCTCAGCCTCAGCCTTCCATTTGGAGACTAAGGCTGTCCCACTGAGCTTCAACAGGGTAGATCCCAGCTGGGTAGAAATGCACCTGCTCAGCAGGGTCTTCCCTACACCACGAGGCCCAAAAAGCAGGATGGTTCTAGGTGGTTGGCTTGCACCAGTATATGCGCCAGGCCTCAGGATGGGCCATACAAGCTCTTCTTCAATGGCAGCTTTGACAGAGACTTGTCCTGCAATGTCCGTCCACTGGACTGGAGGGCCACAGTCAATTACTTTGTTGTTCACCAATTCCAGAATGAAAGGGTCCATGGTTTTCAGCTGTTCTTCTACTGGCTGGCTGCTATTGTCACCACTGAATGCTGACGTTTTGGGCTGCATCCTTAGAGCAAAGGAGTCCCCCTCATGCTCCCCATTGGCAGCTGGAGGAGTGAATTTCTCAAAGCTCTCACTAGCCCTCAGTGGGGCTTCACTAACACTGTAAGCTGGAGAGACCATTCCTTTCATAGCCTGGTTGTTGAACTTTCCAATGGGCTCCTCGGAAGCCACTGTGGTTGCCACCACTCCTGCTCCACTTGGCCTTTTCCCACCTTTGAAAGGCACCTCTGAGCTCCGGCTGAATCCATTCCCTCTACATTCACCATTGTCGGACATCTGATATGGGGACTTTGGTTGCTCATAGCTGTATTTGCGATACCTGCCTTCGCCATCGTCCTCCCCGCCAGCGATATCAAAGGCCTTTCTTTTCAAAGAGCTCCCTGATTCACCACTCAAGGGTGCTACAGAGAGAGGACTCTGGTAGCTGTAACCAGGGACCACAGGAGGGCGAGAGGAAGGAGGGATGGGTGTGGGGGCAGCAATGCCTGTGGGTAAATATGAAGCTGAAGGATGGGGAGGGTGGATGGCACCATAACTGGGCTGGGCTGGGTAGCTCCCTGAAGCGTAATTGTACATGGGTCCTGAAGAAGTATATCCAGGGACAAGGGTGGTGGAAGGATGGCTAGGCTGCAAGAGGCCAGAGCTATGCAGGTGGGTGGATGGGTGCGGAGGGGGAAGTGCTGAAGTGGGCTGGCTGCAATAGCCTGAGGGCAGGTAGGCTCCACTGTAGCCCGACGGATACTCCTGAGATGCCCCGAGGCTGCCAGATGTGGTGGGTCCCCCACAAGTGTTACTGGGATAAATTGAGTCAGACAGGTTAGTGGAAACCACGGGGGATGTACCAAGACTGTTACCCGGTGTGACAGGAGGAGGGACAATCCCCTTGGAGCTGGACAGTCCATCATGCATTGGGGTCAGAGGGTAAACTCCTTCGGCGCTGTGGGCCATTGACCAAGGCTCCATCTCCCCCTTCTGTCCATTGAGGGGTCCGAAGGCACCATCCCCATAGGTGTTGAGTGCTGATGGCCGGTCGTAAGGGGAGTCGAGGACTCCTGAGTACTTCTCCGCATACCTCTTCAGCAGGTTGGAAGCAGTCAGAGCAGAGATGTCATCATTGGCCCAGGCATAGTTGAAGCGCTGCCGACTGCTGTGGTAGAGATCAGATTTGTGGGCAGGTGAGGAGGTGGTGGAGGAGACATCAAGGTGCTGCTCTGGCCACTGATTCAGGGGCTGGGCATGCTCTGGTGTCCAGTGCATCTTTGACAGAGCTAGAAGGAAAGAACAAAGGGACCAGAATTAGCTTTAGATTTAAAAGGAAATGCACCCTGAAACAAACCCAGTGGCGCATTTGAGAATTACCTACGATTATTACTGCACAAAATACATACATATATATATATATATATATATTCATAACAACTATGCAAAGTAGAATAAGCTGGATAAATAAAATTGAAAAAAAATGAAAAAGCTGGGAGTATCTAAACTAAGAATGTACTCTGAGCTTCCTATATGAAGTCCTGAATCAGCCCTGCAGTGTGTCAGCAGCTGGTCAACCTTGGCTATTCTTAGACAGCAAGATACCTATGGATACGTAGCTACTGGAAATACTAGGAATGGAGATTAGACAATGTTGAAAAGGTATACTGCAAGAAAGCAATCGCAAATCACAACTATATAATTCTTCTTCTTCTTCTTGTGCCATATCCGTTATCGGACATTGGCGATCATGTTGGCGATCCTGTTTTTATCAGCAGCCGCACGAAAAGGTGCTGAGGAATTTTGTTCAAACCAGTCCCTTAGATTTTGAAGCTATGATGTTCTTCTTCTGCCTGGACTATATAATTGCCTGGAAATATTATATAAAATCCTATAGTCCCAAGGAACAGAGCTCAATGTGAAGAGTTTACTTTTACTACTAGATAAAGAGTTGTGTAACTGCCTTTCTTTCTACAATAAATCTGAACGCACATTAACATATATGACTAGGGCATGTCATCTGGTTGTTGCATATTAGTTTAATACAGGTAGTCCTCAACTTACAACCACAATTGAGCCCAAAATTTCTGTTGCTAAGCAAAACATTTACTAAGTGATTTTTGCCCCAATTTACGACCTGTCTTGCCACAGTTGTTAAGTGAGTCACTGCAGTTGTTAAGTTAGCAACATGGTTGTTAAGTGAATCTGGCTTCCCCCTTGACTCTGCTTATCAGAAGGTCACAAAAGGTGACACTGCAACTGTCATAAATATGAGTCAGTTGCCAAGCGTCTGAATTTTGATCACATGACCGTGCAGATGCTACGATGGTCGTAAGTGTGAAAAACAGTTATAAGTCACTTTTTTCAGTGTCATCGTAACTTTGAACAGTCACTAAATGAACTGTCATAAGTCTAGGACTACATGTATTAATATCAATAAGATTTTAGCAAGGGAATTTACGGGTTCTTTTTAAATATATTGCATTAATAGTCACTTCTGTTGTACAAGTGTGGACAACCTACAGGCTGAATGCAGCCCACAATTCCCCTTTTATAGCTCTAAATGGCCCCTTTGCTCCCAGTTGCTAAAAAAAACCACAACATATTACTTTTTTTTGCCAGTTTGAAGTGGGGAGCATTTAAATAGTAGTAAAAGCCAGAAAATATAATTAGAAAATTAAGAAATTTCCAAAATTCTGCCAGAGAAGTATCTAACATCTTATCTAACTATTAAATGCAGCAGCCTTTAGTAAAGCTAAAGCCATTTATAGTATGTAATCTACTATGCAATCTATAATTCAGTTTACACCTATAGTTTGGTTTTTATAAATATAATATTGATTGCTAGTTTCTTTCTGCTTGTGGTCTTGTCTGGTGTGCAACAACTCAAAACTATGTACATTATTCCAAATGTGACTATATCTCAGATTTTGGGAGATTTCCAGCCTGTGAAGTAGAGTTATCCCTGTTCTGAATGTCATACCTCAATGAAACAAGACTTTTCCCTCCAACCATCCAGGTGGCTCTGTGCCTCTCTGTGCTCAATAGAATTGGCCTTTTTACCTGCTGGTGAAAGCAGGGATGAGCTCCATGCCTCCAACATCAGAAGACTGACTCTGTGGGGCAGGCTTTCAGACAGGGCTCTGGTTCTCCCTATTGTCAACAAGTATCCCACTCAGAAGTTCTTCCTTGAAGCAATCCAAACCACAGATCAATGAAAAGCCCTCATCTTTGGCATTATGATACTCTCATAGATTAGTTTCTTTCTTGTTTTTATTCCTAGGACTGTCTTTAGTGAAAACATTTCACCGAGCTGTCTGCCATGATGCTGAAGCCGTTTTCATAAATAATTGTTGTAGCCCACTTAGATGATATCATCAAAAACATGTACTGTAATTAGGCTGGCTGATCTCTATAGGCGATTTTACTCTAATTTCACAAAATCTGATTTGCTCCTTCTTGTTTGTTCTTTGTTCTTTTTGAAGTTCTTTGCCATCAGGTTAAAATTATATTATGCGAACAATTTGATGACATTCCCAAAGGATACATCAGGTTGCAGGATCCAATCTGAGCCGGTCACCAGGTTTTGTCTTCCGAGCATTTGGACTCGTACTAGAACCCATCTTCAGGGAACTTCTCTCTGAAGATGGGCTAGCAGGGAGAATTTCTCTTCTCTTCAGAAGAGAAGAAGCCCTAACCATCAAGCCCAATGAGAAGAGAATATCTGGAAAGAATGCAGCAGTTCTAGAAAGAACAACATCCAGAATCTGAAATAACAGAACATCTACTCCTTGCCAAACAGTTTAACAACAAGAAGGCAAAATTAAAGATTGGTTAACATCTGGCAAAACCTACCTGATAATGAAAGATCCAACAAAAGAGGCAGCATCCGGCAACTACAGGCCAATTATCTGGTTACCAACAACTTTCGAATTGCTAACTGATGTGGTAGTTCAATAGCATCTAGTTCAGTGGTGGCGAACCTATGGCACGGGTGCCAGAGGCAGCACTCAGAGCCCACTCTGACGGCACACGTGCCATTACCCCAGCCTCGCCTCCCCTCGTGACCACCTCCTCTCCAGCAGCCCCCCTGAAGGAGAGTCGCCCCTGAGCGTGGCCCATGTGGAGCAGCACAGCCAAGGACATGGCAGCCAGGCAGCGTAGACAAGACTCTGCCCTCACATCCCATCATGCACAGTTGATGCTGCAGGGCGCGGGCAGAGGGCGTGACCGCCATAGTGCTGCTGGGCTGTCTGGGCAATCTGCGGCGGGCCCTGGAGGCGGTGAGTGGCCCTGTGGGCAAGTGGGGCAGGGGATGGGGGGCACAGCAGGGATGGGGCCAGTTTTTGGGCACTCGGTCTCTAAAAGGTTCGCCATCACTGATCTAGTTGAAAACAAGCTTTTCACCTGAGCAGAAAGGAAACCGCCGAAACAGCAGAGGAACAAAAAATCAACCCCTATTTGACAAGATTTTGGAAAACTGCAAGAGAAAGAAGACCAACTTGAATGTGGCATGGATTGACTACAAAAAGGCATTCAACTCTTTGCCACATGACTGGATAATCACATGCCTAGAAATAACAGAAGTCAGAAACGTTTTGCCATGATTAATGACACTATGAAGAGGCAATTGTTGGTCAATAGTGATAGACTAGGAGAAGTTAATATCAAGACAAGAATCTATGTTCTATCTTTCAAGGAAACGTATCACCGCTCCTGTTTGTCTTTGCACTGATTCCTCTATCAACACTGCTAAATAATTCAGGCCATGGCTTATCAAACATCAAAAACATCTACCAGGCTATCCTGCCTCCTTTTTGTGGATGATCTGAAATTGTATGGGAAAACACCATTTGAAATAGAATCATTGCTCAACACTGTCCTTATATACAGCCAAGATACTCCCATGGACTTTGCACTGGACAAACAAGCCACCCTTACAGGAGAAAAATAGTGAAGAAATCAAGATGTTCTATGGAAATAACACCATGCTCACATATTTTCCTCAGTTAATAGAGTCTGTCAACATTGGTGTGTGGATGAAGGGCATGATTTATCACTGCCAATTTTTCTGGCTTCCTATCCAGGGGTTTGAGTTCTGCTTGAGTCCAGGCTACTATTGCAGTTATGTGTCTACGACTGGAATTGCCCAAGTGTTAATTGTCTTGCTGGTATTTTCTCCACTGAGTTAGGATATTAAGATCTTCACCAGGGGTTTTCAAACTTGGCCCTTTTATGACTTGTGGACTTCAACTCCCAGAATTCCTCAGCCAGCATGCCTGGCTGAGGAATTCTGGGAGTTGAAGTCCATAAGTCAGTGGTGGCAAACCTATGGCACGGGTGCCAGAGGCAGCACTCAGAGCCCTCTCTGTGGGCACGCGCGCCGTCACCCCAGTCCTATGCCTTCAGCTGGGTTTTATAAAACCTTTTCGCTTTAGGCCTCTGCTGCCATGTGCAAAAAAAAAAAAGGTTCAGTCAATTTCAACTTCTCGCGGGAAAAAAAAAAGGTCTTGCAAAGTTGGAATTGATTGATTGAACTTTTTAATCCCACCCAGTCTTCCGTTACCACTGCAGCCACGCCCACCCAATGGGCTACACCCAGCCAATGGGCCACACCCACCTGGCACTTTTGGGTTGCAGTTTGGGCACTCAGTCTCTAAAAGGTTCGCCATCACTGCCATAAGTCGTAAAAGGGCCAAGTTTGAAGACCCCTGATCTTCACTCTTATGATGTATTCACTTCTAATTTTCTTTTGATTTTACTGCACTTGATATTGTCATTCTGAAGGATGCCCAGATATTTGGTGTTCATTCAATTTCTTGGTGTTGTTTTTATAGGGCATCTTGATTTCTATGCCATGTACAGGATATGGTAATGGCACCTTGTACTTAAAGATGTTTCCAATCCCTAATAGCTTGCAGCTCAGGATTCTTGCTTTAAAGATTTATATAAAGACAGAATTATCTAAATATATATGAGAAGTTTTCTTTTGCAATGAATTGTCATTAATTCAGAGCACTCATATTCATAAAGCCATAGCTTATAAACCATTAATTAATTAACAAGAATGCAGCATAATTTATAAATCCTCAACAAAAGTTATCTATTTCAGTTTAAACTTTATGTATCCCTTTCCACCATATCAAGATCCAGGGGCTATACTAGCTCAGGCATCTGGAGAGAAATTCACAGCACTTTGGGCTTCCAAAGCACCAGAGGGCAGGACAAGAAACAATGGATGGAAACTAATCAAGGAGAGAAGCAACCTGGATTTAAGGAGTTCCTAATA